GCTTTCCCGGTCCCTATCCCTGCCCTCCGTAATCTTGCGTCACTCATCTTGGCCCCGCTGACCGCAGTGTGAATACTTATTGTTTGTATGTTGTCAGGCTCCCTCTGCGATATATAAGCTCCAGACTTTCTTTTGGTCCTGCGATTTCTTCATGCCTGGAACAGTTTCGGCCCCCAGTCGATGCTCACTAAATCTTGTTGAAAGAATTGATGAAGACCTCACTAACACGTGGTTGCATGCATTACATAAATGGCTTTTGAGTTGAGCTCTATCGCAGGCTGGGAATCACAGGAATAAGTCAATTAACAAAACATCCTTTGCTGAGACTTTACAATCTAGTACAAGAGTTAAATGTCAACAGTTAACTATGGCATAAGGAAATATTAAAAATCAGAAGGGGGCGGGGAAGGAGTCTAGGTAGCACAGCACAGTGCTTGGAGCCCACCAGCCACTGCTGCTCAGGAGAAAGACGTAACTGTACTGGGGCAGAAAGCCTCCTTTTTCTCCCTTGCTCTGGTCGGAATTAAATCAGCATCTTCTTCTCGTATCAGAGCGCTTGCTTATCCCCACCTCCGTAAAGAGCTTATCTCCCAGTATCATCCTATGCTTGTCAGTCGGTAGAGCTCAAGGGCCTGAGGGCGGGAACAAGTGAGTCATCTTTCCGTCTCTAACCAGCCTTTGGATTCCCAGCACCAAAGATTTAGACCTAGGTAACTCATTCACTCTCCCCACCCCCACCCACCATCCCTGGTGCTCCCAGGGCCGAAGATCAGGACGCTTCCTCTGTAAGGGCTTCCAAGGACTCTGAGGGAGAGCACTTTCCAAAGGAGTCAGAGGGTGAGCGCCCACCCCTACAATCCAGGCTAGTTACCTCTCCTCCGAAATGCGCCTTCCTCATCCAGAGCTCTGTCCCACGACCTGCCGTGGCATGGCAGCCGCAAGCAGTGACAGAGTTCTCTAAATGCCTCCACCAAGCGTATCTCTATCTACCATGCATTCCCACCTGGGGGGAAACAACTTCATTAAAGGTCATCTGGCGTCAGATTGAGTAAACCCAACCCAAACCAACTCCCCGCTGTGGAGCTGAGCCAGACTCAGGAATCCCGTAGGACAGAGGAAAAGGGCTCCCCAGGGATTCTGAGGTGGTAAATCTTTCGGGGAGCTGACTGCCACATCAAAGTGACACATAAGCCATTCCACCACCAGGGCTCCCCTCCGATTAGGTATTACTGTAGAATTCCTTTCTAGACCTGAAGTGTCTACACTTCTTTCATCAAGTGGAGCTGTGTGACCCAGGCTCAAGGCTCGTCTCTCTGAGAAGTGGAGTGATCCCAGCCGGTGAACTGGAGGCTGGCGGGCAGAGCCATGCCTTCAGGCTGAGACTGAGGCTCTGCTCTCGGACTGCTCCTTTGCTCGGAGCCTTCCAGAAGAATGTAATCTCAGCCGCCCAGCCGCCCGCCTGAGAGCCAACGTGCCCCGGGCCCCTGCCGAGGGAGTCCGTTCCGGTCGTCCGGCTCCCTTCCTCCCTCCATTTGCAATCACTATTTATTTATCTTGGGAAGTTCAAGGAACCAGAGCCTGCAACTGGGAGAGATCCCTGGAGCCAGGGAAGGAAAGTGAAGGGGCCCGTGTCTGGGCCCACTGTCTGTCACCAACAGGCAAGGGAGAGAGGCCACTTCTCTGCAGAGTGGGGCAAGGGACTGGGCTGAAACACTGCCACTGAGCTGCAGGGTCCGGATCACAGAGGGAAAGGGGTGGCCACCTGAGGGACCGTGGTGGTCCCATAAAGGACAGAGGACCGCCACCCTGGCAGCCCCCTCCTTCAGCAGCAAAGGCTCTGTCAGCTGGCAGAAAGGCCAGTCTCTGCAGGACTGGGACCCCCCTCTCTTTTCTCTGTGTTCCGACGGCCCCTGCACCATATAGAAGCAGACCCCCAAGTCTTTTCTCCCATAGGGCCAGTGCATAGGTGCCATACTGCACCCTTTCCATTAGCCGCCGAGTGTCTAACCACTGTGCCACCCGGCTCCTTTACCGGGCATTACAGTCCCTTCAAATCCCATGAGTAATTTTCATCTTGCTCCCCACCTGCCAGGGTCAAGCCCAGCCCAAAGCCACCAGTCCTCTGGGCCTTTAACAAGCAAGCGAGTGTCCTGAGTGACCTAAATGGATACGTGCTCTACTGACCAAAGGTGGGCAGCTGGAACCCCCTGGGGGGAGCAGCAGCGGATAGTCACAGCCTGGGCAACTAGTGTCCCTAACCTCCCTCGCTCATTCATCCCCAGGCGACTTTCATGTACCCTACCCGGAGGCAGGCAGCAGAGCCCTCTGAGAGCCCAGACATTACCTGCATTAGAGTGTTAGGGGGGTGGACCCAGCAGCTGAGAAGAGAGCCAGCGAGCTGATTCTACAAAAGGGGGCCTCCTGACTCACAGTACAGTGCTCTCCCCCAAGACGGCGGAGGCGGCGGCACAGATCTCTGCTGTCCCCCTCTCACTTTCACAAGCATACACCAGCACACGGATGTGGACAAGGTGGGAGGCCAGATCTAACCACGATTGCCTTGGCCTCTGACCCCTCTTTGACGGAATGACAAGCACACCCTGCTGGGCAAGGTCACCCGAAGTGGAGGAGGATCTGCTGACCCCTTGGTCTCTGGCTGCATCCGCCTGCGGTGCGCTCACTCCCAGTTTGAGGGCAGGGGCAAGGCTATTGGCGTGAGGGCCAGCTTCCAGACCGGCCCGTCCTTCTAGGAGCCAAGCAGGTGGAGTCTCGGCAAGCCAAGAGCAGTGATCCAAGTTCACCCTGAAGCGTGAAGGCACCTCCGGCTAGGCCCGCAGGTCCAGGAAAGCACGGTCCCTAGGCTTAGGGAACCGTCCGAAGAGCAATTAGGGGTTTGGGGGAAGGTGAAGACGGTTGGCCTAGAGGGCCGAGCCGGGTCGGAGAGAGCAATGCCCGACGAGGGAAAGGGGGTCAGGAGGGAGCCGGCGTTTAGGCTCAGAGGGGTCCAGGGACTGGCGGGCTCCCACTCAGAGCCCGGCGGCGTATCGGGAGGCGCTAGGGCCTCGCGGATGGACTGGGCGGCGAGGGGAGGCTCCCTCGTCCGGGGCGGGCGGGGGCTGACGGCGGCGGGAGAGGCGAGCCCGAGCCGCCTCCATCCATGGCACGGAGCGGCGGCGGCGGCGGCAGGAGCCCGGCCCCGTCCGCTAGGTCCCTGCGCTGCTCAGAGCGAGCCGACGACGCGCGGCGGCCCGGCAGCAGCGAGCCGAGACTCGGGCCGCGCGCCCGGGGACGGCCGGGGCTGCGCTGACAGCCTCGTCCGAGTGCTCCCCGCCCCGGGCACTCGCCGGACATGCCCCCGGGGCGCGGCGGCGGGGACCCCAGGGCTTGCCTCCGCCCAGGGCCCCCCGCCCCGTGCTCGGGCACCCCGGGGCCCCGCTGAGCTCGCGCCCGCACGCCCGGGTCCCTCCGGCCCCAGCGCTGTCGGTGCCCGCGGGGCGATGGGCTGATGGGCGCGGAGAGACGCAGGATGCGGGGGGCGCCCGCGCGCCTGCTGCTGCTGCCGTGGCTCCTGCCCCTGCTCCTGGCGCCCGCGGGCCGGGGCGCGCCCGGTTGCCCAGTCCCCATCCTCAGCTGCAAGTGCTCCGGGGAGCGGCCCAAAGGACTCAGCAGTGGCGCCCCCAGCCTCGCGCGCAGGAGGGTGGTGTGTGGGGGCGGGGACCTCCCGGAGCCCCCCGAACCTGGCCTTCTGCCCAACGGCACCGTTACACTGTGAGTACCCTCTGCGGCCGCTGGACGCGCGGGACACGGGGGCCTAGGGAGCAGGGGAGTTGGACAGGGACAGCCTTGAGTGCAGGCGCCCAGAAGGGAGGCTTGGGGGAGCCGGGGAGAGACTGGTGGGGTGTGGAGGAAGGAGACTTCCTCTGAAGGAGTCAGGACCTGGGCGCCCCTCACCTGCACAGGTGAGGTGGAAGGCATGCTGCCTCCGGAATGCCCACGCCCAGCCAGGCCCCCATCCCCGGCGAGTGTTGCCTGCTTCTGACCCGAGCTAGGATGGGAAGAGGACAGGGGAAAGAAACCGATCCATGGCCACCGCTGAAGCCGTCCTGGGACCCACTGAAGGTGGAGGTCCTCCCGTTGGGGGTGCCCCACCTGATCCTGGGAGGGGTCAGGGATGCAAGCGCTTCTTGTTGGACCCCTCGGTTCCTTTGGGGGGGTGGGGGGTGGGGACTTGCCCAACAGGCTCATTGGCAAAGTGAGCTCTGGGCTGAGGGCCACGTTCCCCTCCCCTGGATGTGAAACAAGCTGTGGATGGTTCGCAGTTGACTTCGTGCAAGAATAGTGAAGAAAAAATAGCTGGCTTCGAGGGCCCAGCATGCCTCCCGGCCTTGACCGCGATTCCCTGTCCTGTCAGGGCCTTACTGCTGTCCAGCCTTGCTGTGACTGGGCCATCACCTGACCCAAAGGCTCTTCACTGAGGCCCTGAAGTCCCCGAAACTGAAATAGAAATTGCGCCCCCCTGGGCAGGGCAGCAGTGTGCCCTGAGCTAACCATGTGCTCAGAGCTCCACACACACTGTGGAGTGAGGGTCCTGGCCTAGCAGCCATCCCTTCCGCTCCCAAGCTGGATCCTGCGGACCCACAACATCCCCTTCCCTGTCCTCCTGACCCTAAAGGCAACCTTTCTCCACTGCCCGGTGCCCCCTGAGCTGGCACACGTCTATCTGATTGTGTCCAGAACAATACAGTAACGCCTCTGGTTGGGTGAGTTCACAGGCGGCCTGCTTCCTGACAGGACGCGAATGGTCAGCCTCTGATGCTGGCCGGCCTGGCCTGCGTTTTCCCCAGCTGGATGTGTGTGTAGGTTTGCATGTTTGTGTGGGGGAGTGGGAGTGGGGGCGGTCATATCTGCTCTCTCCTGCCTCGCAGTAGAGTGGGGAGAGAAATGGCCTGGGATGATGGGGAAGGCAGTTGTAGCTGCTCATTCCAGGGCCCTCCGAGTGTCCACTGGTGCTAGGAGCCCAGGCAGGCCTGGGCATTCCCCAGCCCACTCAGTTCTGGAGGAGAAAAATGCTCGCTGTCTGGCAGAGCTGGAGTAGTGGCTGTCTGCGTCCCAGCTGCACAATGGTTCTCAGGCTCTGAGAGGGCAGTGTGTACGTGCGCGCGTGCGTTTGCATGCCCTGTGACTGTTCTCACTCGTGTGTGATGCTCCCCCAGATGCGGTAAGCTTTCTGTGCATCTGTTTGTTGGGAATCTTAACATTGTGAAGGAAGGAAGGGTGGGGGGAATGGAGGTGCTTTTGCAATACATCTTAGAATGATCTGGTAACTAATGCTTTCCAGCCATGGCTAATTCCTATCCAGGCCATTCCAAGGAGCGAGTGGGGCCAACTGTGGGTGAGAATGGATTGTGACGGGATGATGGCACATGTGTCTCCTAGCTCACCATAGAAAGGTCCCCGTCCTCCCCAGTCACTGGTCCTGCTGACATGAGGCATCTTCTAAAGCAGTGGTTCTCAACCTTCCTCAAGCCACAACCCTTTCATACAGTTCCTCATGTTGTGGTGACCCCCAACCGTAACATGATTTTTGTTCCTACTTCATAACTATACTTTTGCTACTGTTATGAATTGTTATGACCCCTGTGAAAGGGTCATTTGACCCCCAAAGGGGTGAAGACCCACCAGGTTGAGGACCACTGTTCTAAAGGAACAGCACCCTCTCCCACTCCACCCCCCAAGCCTGGCATCCATCCCTGCAAGGTACAGCATGTAGGAAAAGCAAGGAAGCTCCTGGAAGCCCAACCCCCCCCCCATCAGTCCCTTGTGCCGCTGAACCCCCAGCTGCAGGCATATTTCTTAGACTCCACAAAGCGGACCAAACAGATCTCAAAGATCTCTTCAGGGCCAGCAGGTCAAGGGCTTTGCTCTCAGGGCCCAGTCCCTCCGGCACACCTACCCCCTTTTGACCGGCTTCCTGAGGGAGAGAGGTAGCAGAAGGGGCTGCCGCGGGAGCTGGCAGCCCAGCCAGAAGAGAAGAACACAGAATGTTCAGCCTCCCCTCCCCAACTGTCTCACCCCTCCATGCCCCGGCTTACTTTCCTCACTTCATTTTTTAAGCACAAATTCTGCTTATCATGGTTCAGTTTGTCACTTTGTGCTGGTAGATTTGTGCACGATGGCTCTACCCTTTTCCATCCCCACATTCCCACCGAGGGACCTGCTTCTTTCTGATTCCAGGGCTCTAGAGTGGGAGTTACACACTGGGCTGGGAAGTGAGAGTTACACACTGGGCTGCGATCCAGGTCAGAAGGTGGAAGCCACCAGGTAGCTCGGGAAGGGGGAAGGGGGGGGAACCAGGCTTTCTACTCCCGTAAACAGCGACAGTCTCAGAAACCCACAGGGGCAGTTCTGCCCTGTCTGATAAGGTTGTTATGAGCCAGCATCGACTGGGTGGCAGTGAGTGAGAATGGGCCACCAGGTCCCTATGTCTTTAGGGCAGTCCCCACCCCCACCCCCACCATGCTGCCACCTCTGAGATGCAGGGCTGGGGCTTCTCCACCTGGAGAAATCCGAGGCTGGGAACCTTTCAGGCAAAGAATGTACTCCATTGGGTCTCTGTCTGGAAGGAGCCCTCAAGGAGCAATTCTGTGAACCCTCCTGTGTGCGTCCCTCACTGAACCACCCGTCCTCCACTCCACCCTGTTCTCTCAGCCTCTGACCGCTGGGTTTGTAGACCCCTTCTCTCCACCCTTGGCTGGTTTCTTTCATGAACTTTTATTTGCCCTTTTCCAGAAAAACTCCTGGCTTCCTCCCATCTGTCCCGACCCACCCCCACCCCCTTACCCCCAGTCTCACAACCCAATCTGTGCTGAGGTGGCCAGGGCAGCTCAGGCTCCAGTGCCCACAGAGCAGGAGCCATGATGGGCTCCCTGAAGGGGAAAGGTCCCTGGGAAGGAGACTTATTACAGGGGGAACTTGGGTCACCCATCGTGGGTCCCTCCACTCACCACAGGGCAGCCGCTAAGGGGCCTGCCCTCTGGTTCTCTGCTCTGGGAGCTAGAATGAGGGGGAAGGGGACCTGGGGATAAATTCCAGGAAAGGGCTGATAATAAATAACTCCAGGAGGAAATCTGCTCCCAGGACCTCCCAGGTTATCTGAGCAGCCCGGATGGACACGCCAGGCTCGTAAATTCCTAGAATGGCTTCACCTCAGTGATCAACACACCCAAGCTTTCCAAGCCTTTCATGAGTAAACTGAGGCTGCCTGGCTACAAGCCACAGAGCTGGCTGGGCCTGGGTAGGGATTAGCTGGTTGGGTTCTCTCCTCACGCCTCCCTTGCAAGGGACTTGCCCTTCACCTGGCTGGACATGGGGCCCAGTGGACATGAAAGCCGCTGTTAAAAACCTGGTTCCTTCCCAGCATGCCCCAGGCCCTTTTGACCTGGTTGGAGAGGGGGGTGGGCATGGGACCAATCGCTCCAAATGCTCAGCTACCAGCATCTCAGGGGGGTGCCCACATCCACTGCCCGCATCGGGAAAATGGGCTGTTGGTCACAGAGGCGCTTTAAGCTGGCTGGGTTCTCTGACTGTGCCTTTGGCGGTCATCAGGAACATGGGAGGCCAGGCATGGGCAGGAGGGAGCAGGAGGCCCCTTCATCTGCCCCACCCCCACCCCCACCCGGCCCGTGCTGCCTTTCAGCCTCGGGAAGTGGTCCTTGAACCACAGATCTCCCTCCTGTTTCTGGACTGGACTTAAAGTTCTAGCTTGGCTCCTCACCCCAGTGCCCCCGCACCCCAGCCACCAGGGCCCAATCAGGGGAGTTTGGACAAAGTGGGCCAACCACCATACACATGGCCTGAGGAGAGTGGAAAGATGCTGACTGAAGGGGCGGCCCCCACTGGCTGCCCCCACCCCCTTCTAGTCCACCCTCTCTCCCCCATATGGTTCTCATAACGTCTGGGCTCAGAGACAGCAGCCAGAGGAAGTGGCTGTGTACAGAGAGCTTTTGTGAGGGAGAGGAGGGGGAGGGGGAGAACCGGTGAAGAGAAAGAGGGAAAGAAAGGAGGGAAGAGGCTGGGGACTGAGGAGGTGTGAGGAAGCCAGCAGACTTCGACACACTCCCTGACCCGCCCCGCCGTGCAAGGCATCCCACGTGGCTGCACTCCCAGACCCCCTCCGACCTGAGGGAGGTGGGGCGTGAGGGACTTCAGAAGAAACCCATGTGCCTCCCTGACATCCCGTTCCCCCTGCCCCGCTGCCCCTACTGGAGGAGCTGTAGGCAGCCTGCTCAGGCTCTGGGGATTTGGTCTTCTTGGGTGGGTGGGGGTGGGGGGTGCTTGGGAGCCCTCTACCCATAGGGCTTAGGCGTGTGTGTGCGCGGTATTCAGGTCCCCGAGCCTGTCTTAGGGTGCAGGCTGGGCAGAGAGAGCAGAGCCCTCCTAGGCTCTTTGGGTGAGTCCTCACTGCACTGGAGATTGGAAACACCATCCTGCTGAGCAATCAAACAGAGCCCCCAAAGAAAACTCACAACAGCACCCTGTTGATTCCCTGATTCCCTCTCCACGGAGTGTCTTAGACTGTACATCTTTCTGAGGGCGGAAGTCCTCATCTTCCTTCCTCAGACAGCTGGTGGGTTTGAACTGCCAACCTTGCTCTCAGCAGCCCCACAATGTAGCTGGCTACTCTACCTGGGCTCCCCTGGCTGTTAAGGAAGGCACATATCATTCACTGCCAAGGGGATCCAGACCCCCCAATTTTTAAATTCAGAGAG